TATTAACTTGAAATTCATTTTTCTGCCTTCACGAGTACTCTATGCGAAGTGAGTGCTGTGCTGATCGGTCCTCTGTTTATCTTGTTTTGTTCTTCTTTTCAGGTGCAGTATATGGTATGCCACCCATAATGGATCGCTATGGCATTGCTTTGCCCATGGGCCCTGGGACCATGGTAGGTCTTTTGATGTAAATTATTTCCCGGTCGCTCAGCAGTTTTTCTTTCTAGAGTTTTAAGTTTGGTGTACTCTTAGCTTAGCTAGAACCCCCCCTCAAAGGACAATATTCAAGCATCCATAGAGGTATTGACGATTAGATTCTATGGAAGTTGAGAAAATGAATTATTAAATCTTTGTTTTCTGAAGATAAGAGATTAAAAAAGAATCACATCATATCGAATTACATTTTCACCTTAGTTTTGAATATTTGTTATAACAATACATCAATTGATGTATCACAAAGAATATTAAAAGACGAATGTTAGTGATGGGTTTTTTTTTTTTTTTTTTGTTTGTTAAGTATTTCAATGGTTGAATGTTGAAGAGAAATATCTTTCCTATTGGAATGAATGTTAAAGCCTGAAGATTTATAGTTCGGATATTAAGACTTGTGCGAATAAAGACTTACCCCTACAGCTATGAGTTGCAACTGAATCTGTCCTGTATGTCTACTAGTGTTGTTCTTGATTGAGTTTCACATATATTTCCTATCTGTCATCTGTCACTTTTTGTGTAAAATTTATGAGCAAGTAAATTTACCAGGGTCCAAGGCCAGGTTTTTTTCCGGATGACATATCGCAGAAGAAGGGTGCAGGTTACTATTCTTTACTTGCTTTGTTATGTTCTGTCCTTGACCAATTACGATGAAAACCTTTTCTAATCTAGTTTCTTACTTATGCTCATCCAGACGCTACTCGTGACAACGATTGGCCATGCCCCAAATGCGGAAACATCAATTTCTCATTTAGAACCGTCTGTAACATGAGGAAATGCAACACGCCAAAGCCTGGGTCACAGGTCTGTTATGTTATTTTCTTAAGAGTGACTGATTTTCCTATGTGCTTTTATGCTGCAATTACTTATTTAAACGTTGTTAGCAAACATCTCCTTTTCAATTGGTGAATGTTGAACTTCCTTAAAAAATGAGTTCGCTTAACTTTACTTGCAAGTCTAACCTTTTCATTTATTTTTGAAATGCAGGGTCCCAAAAATGATAAAGGTTCTAGTAAGTTCAATATATGGGCCTGTTCCAATAGAAGTGGTTTCCTTTTCAAACTTCGTTATAAGCTTCATGATTTCTAATGTTCTTGTTTATAATGCCTTCCAGAACAAAAGACGCCGGAGGGTAGCTGGAAGTGTGAGAAATGTAACAACATAAACTATCCATTCCGAACCAAATGCAATAGACAAAATTGTGGAGCCGACAAGCCAGCGGAGTCGGAGAAATCCCCATCACCGGCACAGGATGAAGACAATGAACAGGTCTGTTGTGTGAGTTTCTGTATCTTTATATGGTGTTCGGAATTGCATGTGCTTTTCTTGAGATATATATGCATTATGAAGTGGATTCCATATAATTTGATTAACAAGATAATTTTTGAACCACCAGAAAAGGGGAGAACCCTTTTGGTAAATTATCAGCGGTAGTGGTACTTTCCTTGAGTATACCCCACATTTCTTTTTGTAATTTTGTTTTCCCTTCCACGCATTAATTTGTCATTGTGTACTGTTCCAGTGAGTTCTAGAACATGTTTGAGGGGGTTGAGAAGGTCCAGAGTTATCTTCCAGCGTTGCTCAATATGGGTGTCTGAAAGTCAGTCTTGTCGTCCTCATGTTGCAGCAGTTGTCAAGTTAGTCTACCTCTCTTGATCCGTGTCATGTTGTATTAACTCAATTTAGTTCCTGGTCTTTTCAATCATCAACCGGATTGATCTGGCAAAAGATTTAATGGTTGGTTTCTAATATTTTAGGAACACATTTACTTTCTTGAATTCACTTATTTAGTTTAGTGGGCCTGTTAACTTGTGCACTAAACATGTTGCGAGTAGACTAGACTCTACCCTTTTGGGTTCCGGTTTGATCTCTTAATTGTCTTTCTTCTGTTGGGTGTGCCAAACGGATCCTTTCCTAGGACAGGATCCCAAAGATGCATTAGATAGGGTTTTCTTTTGGGTTGGACTAAGATTTTGGGTTCAGTCCATTGCCTCATCTGACAAACCGCTGGGTCATTCATGGTATTTATGACCCTTATCGGTGGTGTCACATCACATTATTATGGTCAATAAATTATGGTTAGCATGTTGCGTGCGTGCGTGCGTGCGTGCGTGCGTGATCGTCAAAAAAAAGTAAATGAGCCTTCCCAAATGGAGTCTTGGGGACGTGACTTGTGTACCATTTACTAATGTTGGTTAGGTTGCAATGTCTTTCGGGTCAATTCTGTCATCATTATTCACATCTCGTTTATTATTTGTCTTTCCATGCCATTATTGTTCATTAATTTATTGAGGAACCTCACGCATGTTCATGCAGTGTCGTGGCAGGGCGATTTGGGTATCCAACTGTTTGAAGTAGTTGGTATTCTTCACCTTATCCACTTAGGTAGTTTTATTATTCCCTTCTTAGGGTGTGGTTTGGTGCTAATTATGGATTATTGCGTGGCCCTGGTACGTTATATAACCAACCCCTGTTTGCATTACATAAATATATCATTAAGGAAGAATTTAGCTTTAGGAATAATGGAGTCTTAAGAAATATTTTAAGATAGTTGTTTTTACCATCAATGACAAAATTTGATGTTTTTTTTTTTTTTTGCGTAGTTGCAAATTTTAAAAGCAACTTATTTTAAAAGCAACTTGGGTTTGGGTTTGACCATCAGATGAAAGTCCCACCTCGGCTATTTTAGGAATAATCATGGGTTTATAATTAAGGAATATTATGTCCATTGGTATAAGGCCTTTTGGGGAAGCCTAAAGCAAAGCTATGAGAGCTTGACCGTTGTGGAGAGTCGTATTCATCTAACGATTGACAAATCTTACATATTCTTCCGTCATTTGGCTTAAATTTGACCATTTCTTTGTCATTAATTTTTTTTAGCATAACTCTGTTTTAGAAAATACTTTCTAGAATTAGGTAGTTCCTAAAGTTGACCCATAAGTAGCGATATAGATGGAGGTTAGCCTTCTTAGAAATGCTGCTTCAAATGTGGGTAAGTACAGGTGTACAAGTTCCATCGTTTAAAATATCTTGTTCTATTTATATTCTAAAAACTACTTCAATTTTCTTATAGATTCACCTTTTGTATCCTTATGCTTTTTTGCTGAAATAATTCTTGTTTTTCCCTCCGCTATTTCTTAATATGACTCGATTATTTCTTAATATGACTTGTCGTCATGGTGTGGTGTTTTATTTTTATTTTTAAACTAAAAAAAGTAAAATAGAATAAAATTTAAAGGCATGAACTAATTCTTTTGGAGCAGTTGAAAATGGTGCCAGCATTTAGGTATCACTTTTGTCCTCGAGGACTACACAAGCATCTTTCAAACAATTTGTCATTGTCAATACATAGTCGAAAATAAATTTACAGTTAGGTACTTGATAAATTGTTTTTTAAAACCAAACTTTGTTTTTAGAACTTAATGTTTTAAAATGTAATTTTAGTAACAAATAACCTTTTTATTTACATTTGTCTTTGGATTAAACTATTTTAAAAGTCAAAATTTAAGCATTGTTTCATTTCTTGATATTGGACTGTACATTTGGAGCAAGAAAACGCCCCTGCACCATTCTTTAACTTTTGGAGTTGGAGAAATGGTCCTTGAAAGATTATTGAAGTACCGCCACCTCTATGTTGTTACATATGTCCACCATCACTCTCTACAATGATATGATATTGTCTACTTTAAGCATAAGCTCTTATGACTTTGTTTTGGGCTTCTCCAAAAAGTTTCACATCAATGGAGAGAGTATTAATTGATTATAAACTCATGATCATTTTCTAAATTATCTCTTTCATTCCTAAATTAGCCTACATGACTTTGCTGTGTTTGATACTTGAGGCTAGAATCGAAACAGTCATAGTCGTAAAATGAGTAAAATGATTCAACTCAGTATTTTCTGTAGTTTGTTATAATATTTTAAAATCCACTATTTTAATGAAAATATCTATATAACCCATCTCCTCAAAATTCTCCCTTGCCTAATCCTTTGAAGATTCCTTTCACGGTATCTATCCTTTACTGTTTAATCTCTCTGGACTCGTCTCCCAATATTTTATTCGACTTTTCTCTCTCAACCACCATATCATATCTTAACATTTTATTCGACTTTTCTCTCTCAACTACCATATCATATCTTTTTTTTCCATATTAAAAAAAAAGAAAATATTGTTAGATATGCTTAGCTCTTCTCTCTCTTTTTTGAAAAAGTAGAACCGGAAGAAATTAACAAACGTTTTTAGCTGGGTTTTTTTTTTTTTTTTTTTTTAAAGAAAACAAGCCAAACAAAAGACAACATCAATTGGGGTCGCGAAAAAACGAAATAAATTTGCAATAAGCTAGGAGTCTAAATCGATGTACTTTCGAGGGGAAAATGTAGATAGTGTAGATACCTGCAACATTCCTATCTTCGTTCTTAATTTCCGGGGTCACCTAGTGATAATGTCACTTTTGAATTTTAGTAAATTGACAAAAAAAAAAAAAAAAAAAAAAAAAAAGAGTTTTTCTCTTCAGCGATTGGTAGCATAGGATCAAACAACTTTTCCTCCCTTTTCTTGTGTGCGCCCAATAACAGCGCTATTTTTTATGGGGGTCTGAGATTGTGACTGGGATTGTCTCAAGGGTTTATATGTTTTTTTTAATGCTTCTGTTTTCACCACATGTTATATGTAGTGTTTGCTCTCTTTCTTAATATATATACTAGATTATTTTTCATATGCATCTGCACANATTTCTCTAACAAAAGAATAAATGGAAAGTCGTTAGTGGGGAATTTTGGTCTCATGGATATGATTTTAAGTAGTACGGTCATCAGCACAGAAGAAAAATTATCAGTGAAAATGCAAGAAAAGGAGTGTGTCCGTTTTAGTTAACATGCATCTTCCAGGAACATCAAAGTCTTCAATTCATTCAAATAGAAAGCATGAAAAATCGTAGGGAAAGAATAAGTTGGCTGACCTTAATTGTTAGAGAACATCCCAATCTCGCATGGTGTTTTGAAGAGCTGCAAGTCTTGTAACAAACCATTGCCTTCAATGCTGGGATGGGGGACTTGCACCTGCGATTCAATGGGCCATCCTGAATCAACTGAAGCAAAGGGCAGACTTTGAATTCCGAGATCCATTGGCGACTGCGATGTGGCGGTTTGGTTAGCATAATTAGGGTTACCATGACGATTAGGGCTGTCAGATGAAATGAGCTTTGCCTCATATGGACCCTTTAAATCAGTTGACAGAAGAGAGAGAGCACGTTGAAGATCCTGTGCTGTATTCAGAACAGAAGAGAAATCAAATATCCTTCTAAAAACCTATAAACGATTGCAAATTTCATTTCTGTACAAACAAACGTGAAGAATTGGATATAAATATCATATCTTTTAGTGGGCAAAAACAAATTCATAGTTCGTAGATTGGGTCGGTTGAATCTGAACTTGTCGGGTTGTTTTCGTTGAATATGATCACGTCTATGCATGTAAATTGAAACTATTACTTATTCTAAAGTGAAATAAAGAAATGATGCACGCATAAAGGAACTGTTATGAAATGACGTTTGTGGAACATTACTTGGCATGTTTCCAATTCATATGGAATCAAAGGACACACTATCGACCTCGAGTTCGTTAACAACCTAGGAACCAAATCATTATGGAATAACAGAATAAAAACATAGAACATGTTCGTTTGTATAAAGGGGTGAAACGAACCTGCATCAAGAACCCTGGTTGCAGGTCCCTTGAAGGTCACGAGCTTACTGGTGTCGTGATAAGGCATAGCACGCACGCATCGCATCTCATTCCTTGATACGTTAAGCTGCCCTGTCGAACCACATGCTTGTTCTGACTTTAATACATACTGGCCACATTGTGGGTGTCTGGTGTTCAATTCAGATTCCCATGCTGAATTCGTACGAGATATAGGATAGATGAGCGATAATTTGTCTGAGAAAATGTTAATCTGTCGCCTCTCTACAGAGGTCACAATATAAACGGATGATCAATATGCTGGTGAATAATGAATTATATAGAAATACAAAATGATCTCCAGGCAGATATCCACTACTTGAACTATATAAGGGAGTCTGGCTGCTAAATACCACAGTTAAATGGACGCTAATTCAGGATTCCAAACATGAGCAATAAAGAACTTACAACCATCATTTGGTTGCGGACTTGAAAGCTTGTTAACATGAAAGCTGTTCTTTGTGAAAATGACATACCAAAATCCCAAGAAGATAGCCTTGCTGGATTCAGACTGATCACTTTTGACTGTGGCTTACGACGTCGAGCATTATGATTAGAAAGACGCCTACGGCAGCTTCGTTTCTTCTCATCAAAATCAGATATGCCATGAAACCTTTGACAATGCAGATATAATATTTATTCACATTGGATTTAAATAATGGCTAATTTCGGGAACATATAGTGGTCAGTAATATGCAAGATACAAAGCAGATCAAAGAGCTAATGGATAAAGAGGTATATATGCACTCGGTAAGAAAATACTTTTTGACCCATAACTATCTGCAAAAATTTAAATATGTCCAGGAGTTTACCTACTACATTGTTGGCAAAACCGACGCTCTATGCCTCCAATGATGACCTTGGGAGATTTGGAATGGCATTCACAGACTCTATGTTTGCGATAGTAATCCTTAGCATTCGAAAGATCTATGTTACAACCTTCAACTTGGCAGTGAGGGGATAGTGTATTCTGGCACCTCTTTCGAGTAGCTCGGGATTCCATCAAGGGAACAGATGGCTTTTTAACATTTCCAGCACTAGTATTTTCGAAGTATGCCTGCTTACCAAGCTTCAGACTGAGCATTGGTTCACAGGAGCAAATTGAAGTCTCAACAAATTCGTATTTATTGTCAATATCTTCTAAAGTTGGCTCAAATCCCTCAAGCGTGAATTTGGTTGTTCGACTTTTCTCAATCGACAATGAATTTTGGGAAACTGACTTGGAGTTTTTTGGAGAAGTTTTCCCTAACTCGAAAAAAGGACCACCAGTAATTCTGGCGTCCCCAACTGAATTGGAAGATCCAACATTCATTCCATGTTTATTTTCAAAATTAGTTGGATGTAATATATCCCCATGTCCGGAAATTCTTGGATTAAGTACCGTTAAGTTCTCCCAGTCCCATTGTAAAGAAGGTCTTGCATTCCACTCCATCAACTACAAATGGCTGGGAAATGTCTCATGCACCTTATTCCTATCAGAGAATTATAAATCAGCATTGACTAGCATTTTGGAGAAACCTATTTGGTCACAAAAATCATAAACAGTGTATTGAACATTCAATTGCATCACAAGAATTGGTGGTCATAGTTAATTTACTAACAAAAACAGATGCTACAGCTGAAAAAAGGTATGAAAGAGCAAGACTTAAATCAGGCAATCAAGAAGAAGTATAACCTTCAAATAAATGACGAAGTAGAATTTGAACAATTTCTTTCTTTGAGATCATATACAAAATAAAGAAGCATGATATATTCCTCTCTCAAACGTGCAGAGATCAATACAGTTGTCGACCTCATCCAAGGAGACCACAGTAAGGAAGGCACAAAAGCAGAAAGATGTTCTCTCAGAGTACATTTCTTTTCATGTATTTTAACTTTATTCTAAAGCCCAACCAGGTGCGGTTACAAGCAACCGCAGTAGTTATCAGTACTTTTTATTCCTTATCAGAGAATGGTGTTATTAAATTTTAAAGCACTATACCTTTCCTTCGGTGTCACAGTTCTTCAACCGCTTACCTTTTAGCTTTAATTGCTTAAAAAGTCATACAAAACTCACCTCAGACAGAGATACTTCCTTGTCTGTGTACCCTCAGAACTACCTCGGGAAAGCACAGATTGTAATCAGGTTCACTTTCTTGAGTGTCTACATAATTCAGTTGTGGCAAAGGCCGACTATTACCTCATATAATTGGAAACATGAGAACAGAATTTCTATTGTTCCAAATAATTCGTGAAAATTTCTGGATCAACAAGTCCACATAATTAAAAACGAGACAATTGATACATTATGGCCTAACAATGGAAGTGAAGCTAGAAAATTTCGACCTCAAGTTATCACGATTGCCAAGTACCAATCCAAACCGACCACGTTCCTTTGTATTTCTCAGTGTAAAATAAATTGCTAAATTTGTAGAATCCAGACGGTTTAGTGTCCCCTTCCTAGGCTCTGGGACAGGTTTTAGAATTTAAGCGTCTTCTTCATCTCTATCTTAGTCCTGGAGCAATTAACTACAGAAAAACCATCAAGGATCGAAGGAAACTGCGTATTCTTACGATTTCGGAAGCAGTAGTGCTCAAGATAACTGGAGAGAAACTAAAGGAGGGATGATGAGTAGAACACACATGGTTCTGCAATCGACATTGAATGTACGATCTTAAGCTAGCTATATTTCTAGATTTAGGTAAATATATCCAAAACTAAACAGCAAATTCAACAACAACAGCCGCAGCAGCAGATATAATATCTCCATCCATACCACCGACAAACAAACGGAGAAAATCACATATTCAATCATTTCCAAAGCATTCTAATCTCTCCACCGAGAAAAAACTATCTATAACTAAGCGAAATCTAGAAAAAAAAAAGAAAAAGTAGATTCATTCAAATTCGAAGCAAAACGAACATCTGATAACACACTAAAAATTCACAAAACAAACTGAATCGGAAGAACCTCAGTGGAAACATGAAAAAAACAGTAAACTCGATCCAGCTTCATTACTTTTCTTCCAATGCACAAAGCAAAAATAACAAAGAGCGAGATTTTCAGAGCTTACCAAGTGCGTCGGCAGAAAAATTTGGTAGACTTCAGTGTTCAAAGGAGGACGTGTTATGGTGGAGGACTGCACGTTCACCTCCACAAAAGCTCACCCGCCACTCTATTACTGAATCAGTATTTATACCAACGATAAAGCCACGCGTTTTGGGCCGAGTCCGGCCCAATGGGTTCATATCCAAATCACACACGCTTCCATATTTTATTATTAAAATATATTTAAATTTGTTTTTAGCTATAATTGGAAGGGATCGATCTCTAGTGGGATTTTATCATAATATTTTATTTTATTATTTTATATATACAAAAATATTAGTGTGACATAAAAATATAAAGGTTAAAAAATATTTTTAAATAAAAAATTTTAATTTTGTAATAATTTACTCCTCTAATTTTCTCACAGCTTTGAAACGCGTCTGCGCGAGGGACATCACAATCCACACCCTGTGGGGCCCAGCGTCCCCGCTGGCACTCTTTCCTTCCTCTAATCGACGTGGGACAGTCCCCAAATCCACCCCCTTTGGGGCCCAGCGTCCTTACCGGCACACCGCCTCGTGTCTACCCCTTTGGGGAACAGCGAGAAGGCTGACACATCGTCTAGTGTCTGGCTTTGATACCATTTGTAATGACCCAAATTCACTGCTAGCATATATTGTCTCTTTGGGCTTTTTCTCAAAACTTTACAAAACGTCTGCTAGGGAAAGATTTCTACACTCTTATAACCAGTGGTTTATTCTAATTTAATATATTATAATTTAGTCAATATTATTAAAATTTAATGATATATTTTTTTAAATATGTAGATTAATAAATTGATTATGGACTAAATATTTTTATAAATTACAACCGTTAACAATTAAATTTTTATAGGTTTTTAAATATAAGAATTAAATTTTTAAAAAAATAATTATTACAAAATTTAAATTATCGTAACTAAATTATTTCTAATTAAAATTTAAAAAATTAATTTAATTTGATGCACATTTTTGTTTTTGTTTTTCTATGTTTATTTTTTTTATCATTTTTTTGCTATCTTTTTTATATTTAAAAAAAATATATTTGAATTTTGAAAATATGAATAAAAAAAGTAAATAATAAAATATAGAAGTAATATTTATTTGTTTAATTTAAAAAGAATAATAACATGGCAATAGATCCAAAATAATTAGTCTTTTGAAAATACAAATTTTTTAAACTAAATATAAAATAATATTTTTTTTAAAAAAAATAAAACTAATTATTCCCGTTTATTTATTTAGCAACTTGCTTATAATATTTAAAAATTTTGTGAGATGGGGCTGAAGTCGTGGGGTGTTATGGTAAATAAATAATTATTTGAATTCAATATTAGAAATTAATCGACATTTTTGTAAAAATTTAAAAATACTAAAAAAAATATATTAATAATACACTTGTTTAATTATATAATTAAATATTTTTAAAAAAAATTGTAATTTTGACCATATATTAAAAGACCTGTTCTATTTTATTTTTATTCGCATGGAGAGTTGTTTCAAGCCAAACATATTTAATTTTGGAGTTTGAACAATAAAAAAGATGTGCACCTTGTTGATATATATAATAATTGTCCGTTATTTTCTTAACTATAATGACACATTCTCGTGATCACTCTTATTTAAATATGGTTTCAGTTCATTCATGTATGATGTATCATTCCTTTACTCTCGGGGCACATGCCTATTAACTCTACCTTAGTTCATCTCTGAGTCCCATCCTATCGTCCTGCTCTAATATGATATGTAATGCCTCGTGTGCAAAATTTAAGAGTAATTTTGAAGCACTATTAAAAGTTCAAGAGTATTGATAAGGCAACTCTAATCTTCAGTCTAACGATACAATCTTTTGTTGAAGCAAGAGATTCAAGTAATTAATACCTTCTCATACAAAATTCGGATCAATCAAGAGATAATGCTAGAATTAGATTAACTCTTACGATCGAAAATCTAGAAGTAAGATTTGGAAATCTTATTCTAAATTGAGTCAGTCCACAGTCGAACTTGATCAAGACTTGATTAAATGGCTCAGATGCAATTCTACCTCAAGAATTGTTAGAATTGCATGAAACTTAAAAATGACAAATATGATGCTCAGATTTCTAAAGAAAACGTCTCAATTTGAGATCTGAATTATATTGAGATTTGAATTATATTTATTCACGAATATGATTTTTACCTAACATATTGTGGGTATTTATAGTCTCCCGACAAAAGATGTTTGTGGTCGGAATTTATTCTCGGTACCTTTAATCTCTACAAAAGACGAAGTCAAATTGACCATTTGACCGTTACATAATTTATGAAATTAAAAATAATACATTCTCAGCAACGTTGATGTGCTTGAGTGAGTGGCTAAGGAGACAGGTTTTGACAATAAATCCAATGTTGATGTGCTTGAGTGGCCAAATAGGTGTGCTTTTGAATGAGTCGCTAAGGAGACAGATTTTGGCAATAGGTCCAGATGTGCTTGAGTGGCTAAATAGGTCCAATGTTGATGTGTTTGAGTGGCTAAATAAGTCCAATGTTGATGTGTTTGAGTGGCTAAATAGGTGCAATGTTAATGTGCTTGAGCCTAAAGGACACGAACTTTAGCAATAGGTCCATTTGGAACACCATCGTTCTTATCAAATAGAACTTTTAACTTTTTTTTTTTTAATTGAACAATATTAATGAAACTTAAAACTTCTAATTTTTTTTTTAATTGAACAATATTAATGAAAACTCAAAATTAAAGTAATTACGGAGGTTTAAGGTATTATTAAAACTTTTACGATATTAAAATATTTATGAAATAAAATATAAAATTTAGACTTATTATATCACATGGTAGACACTATCATATGAGTCTGTCGGGTTGAAACAATAATTGCAGAAATTGAATTACAGATTGAGAATCTTAGGAAAAAGAAAAATAAACTTATTTATTGAAAAATGGAAATTAAAATATAAGCTTCATATTATTAAACAACAACTTGCATTGAGGCCTAACAGAACAGAACAGCCAAACTAGGCACTTGAGAAAGGGGAAGAAAAAGAGCTTAGTGTGAGCTTCACTGCCCATTGCAATGGAGGATTCAAACAAAATATAGCCATCACAGCCATGGATCAAGAGGCCGCCTCGGCTCGAATCTTTTCGATCATCTTCTCTTTGATCAACCTCCTCATGACTTTCCCAGACGGCGATTTCGGGATCGTTTCGACAAAATGAACGAGCCTAACTTTCTTGTAATGTGCAACGTTTGAGGCGACGTATTTGATTATTTCGTCTTCGGTTTCTTTTGCATTTGGAGCCATTACAATGCTTGCTGCTGGGATCTCACCGGCTTCTTTGTCTGGCAGCCTGAAATACTGACGCGGGTTAACGTTGTTTTAACCGTTTCGGGTTCGATTTGTTTCAGAAATCATTTAAATAGAAATATGTAAAGGGAAGCGAAGCATACGGCACCACAGCTGCATCTTCAATCGAGGGATGAGTAAGGAGGATTGCCTCTAACTCGGCCGGAGCTACCTGTAGAGAAATCAAAGACATTCGTTACCTTATATAGGTCTCGTTTGATAACCATTTGAATTCTACTTTTTTTCTGTTCTCGAGCTTCGATTTATCAAGCAAAGTTTATGCAGTGTCTTTACTTGAAAGCCTTTGTACTTAATCAACTCTTTAATACGATCCACAATAAACACATCGCCATCGTCGTCGATGTATCCGATGTCGCCCGTGTGCATCCAGCCTTTGTCGTCGATGGTCCTTGAAGTCTCCTCTTCATTATTGTAGTAGCCTGAAACAAGGAAAGATTCAACTAGCATATAATTAGAGATCTCAGATGGATTTTCTGCACCAGTCCAAATTATGTACCTTGCATTACACACTGGCTTCTTACACAGATTTCCCCAGGCGTGTTCTTCGGCAGCGACCTGCCGCTGTCGGGGTCAATGAATTTGACTTCTAGATTAGGAAGAATGCGACCGACTGTGTTTTTCTTTGCAGCGAGATTGTCTTTGCCTATGCTTCCATAGTTGAGAGTGATGCAGCTGTGCTCGGTAAGCCCATATGCCTGTTGGTGATCAATGACATTTAGTTAGCTTAGGTAGGACGACCCTGTGAATCAGCTCTACAATGCGACGGTGGAGCTCGGTTCGTTTTCGATATGCAGAAAACAGGAAGGTGGACTACATGTTATAGCTTGATAATTTGACAGAATGAATAAGAGTCGAGAGTTCTCACAATCCATCTACTCGAGTAGTAACTTAATTACCTCTTGAACATCCACGCCCGGGAACTTTTTCTCAAAGGACGTTTGAAGTTCGGGTGCGAGCGGAGCAGCTGCAGTCATGATAGCCTGAAGTTTGAGACCGCTTAGATCGAATTCCTTCACAATAGGATTCTTAACCAAGGCCAAGATGATAGGAGGAACAATTGGAGCAAATGTGACCTCCTGTGTTATCAGGGCATTGATGAAGGTTCTAAGATCAAATCTTCCCATCACCACAACTTTTCCCTTGTTTCGAAGTGTGGCACAACATATTCCGGTAATCCCGTAAATGTGGAAGAACGGGATGAGGCCTAACGTCGTGACCTTGCCCACCATTTCTTGCGGCACGCCCGAGAGCGTAGAACACAAGTTAGCCACTAGATTTCGATGAGTTAGCATTACACCTTTGGAAACTCCTGTAGTGCCTGATGAGAAAGGAAGGGCACATAAATCAGTCTGCTTGATATCTTCTTTGACGAAATTGTTGCCCGCTCGGTCCGCAGCTTCGAGCAGTTTGTGCCAGTTCATGGAACCTTCAATCAGTTCCTCCCCTACTACGATCACTGGAAGCTTTAATTCCTTTACCTGTTATCAATCATTAGATAGTAGCAAGTCGAGTTGAATTCGAAATAATATGATCGATAACGACAGTTTCGATTTTACCTTTTCAAAGCTTGAGCTGTTTGTAACGACGAGTTTGGCGTCTGCTACCTCCACCTGCTTTTTGATTTCGGATATGTGAGCTGCTGGATTCACACCAGAAAACACACCTCCAGCAGCCATTATCCCTAAAGCAACAATGGCATATTCAGCAACGTTGGGTAGAACGACAATAACGACCTGCCCCTTCTTCAACCTCAGAGAGCTTAAGGCCTTAGCGAACCTACTCGTGTCTCTCACAACTTCACGATAAGTGTACGCCTTTCCGCTCACAGCTTCCACAAATGCCACATTATCAGCATATGATTCAGCATTCTGAAGTACAAACTCCGGCAATGTGATATCATCAGGCACTTGGACCTCAGGAAGTTGGCTACGGAAAATGTGTTCCTCGTCTTCTACCAAATCCCGAATGCAAGTAGCCATGGCGGAGTTGTTGTTTGCTGCAGACATCGACGGGCGTCTCCCTCTTCTTAAAGGAGGAGCTGAGAAAGCTTGTATCATGCTTTGTGGATGAGAAATTTGTAGAGCTACTGAGGGTGAGATTGGCATGAGCCTTTTTTTGGTGGGATGTTGTTGATTCATGCCACTCATTAAGGCAAACCTATAAACTCCCTTTCTAAACAAAGCTGGTCACGGGTTCAGCTGCAGAAAGCATTTAGACAATTCCCCATTTCTAAACTAACAAATAATGGTTTGGAATCTTCCTACTTACACATAAAACTGTACAGAACTTATCAACAGAAGCTAGCCTGTTCTAAAATTTAATGAACCAAATAAAATTTCATTGTTCAAGAATTCCCTGTAGGACGTGTGAGATCCAACATCAGTTGGGGAGGAGAACGAAACATCCTTTTATAAGAGTGTGGAAACCTCTTCCTAGCAGACACGTTTTAAAAACCTTGGAAAACCCAAAGAGGACAATATGTGCTAGCAGTGGCGTGGGCTATTATAAATGGTATCAGAGCTAGACATCGGGCGATGTGCCAACGAGGAGTCCAAATCCTGAAGGGGGTGGACACAAGATGGTGTGCTAGCAAAGACACTGGGACCCAAAAGGGAGTGGATTAGGGGGTCCCACCTTGATTGGAGAAGGGAACGAATGCTAGCGAGGACGTTGGGCCTCGAAGGGGGGTGGATTATGAGATCCCACATAAGTTGGGGAGGAGAACAAAACACCCTTTATAAGGGTGTAGAAACCTCTCCCTATCAAATGCGTTTTAAAAACTTTGAGGGGAAGGCCGAAAGGAAAAGCCCAAAGAGGACAATATCTGCTAGCAGTGGGCTTGGACTGTTACAAATGGTATTAGAGCCAGACATCGAGCGATGTGCCAGCGAGGAGGTTGAGCCCCGAAGGGGGTGGACACAAGGCGTTGTGCCAGCAAGGACGCTGGGCCTCAAAGGGGAATGGATTAGGGGGTCTCACGTCGATTGGAGAAGGGAACGAGTGCCAACGAGGACGTTGGGCCTTGAAGGAGAGTGGATTGTGAGATCCCACATCGGTTGGGGAGGAGAACAAAACACCCTTTATAAGGGTGTGGAAACCTCTCTCTATCAGACGCGTTTTATAAACTTTGAGGGGAAACCCGAAAGGGAAAGCCCAAAAAGGACAATATCTGCTAGCAGTGGGTTTGGGTTGTTACAAATGGTATTGGAGCCAGACACCGAGCAATGTGCCAACGAGGAGGCTGAGCTCCAAAGGGGGTGGACACAAGGCGGTGTGCTAGCAAGGACGTTGGGCCCCAAAGGGGGGGTGGATTAGGGGTCCCACGTCGATTGGAGAAGGGAACGAGTGCCAGCGAGGACGTTGGGCCTCAAAGGGGGGTGGATTGTGAGATCCCACATCGGTTGGGGAGGAGAACAAAACACCTTTTATAAGGGTGTGGAAACCTCTCCCTATCAGATGCGTTTTAAAAACTTTGAAAGGAAGCCCGTAAGAAAAAGCCCAAAGAGTACAATATTGGCTAGCAGTAGGATTGGGCTGTTACGAGTCTTAACTATTCGTTTCCCTATTCAATTCAAATTTGACACGACAAAGAGACAGAGAGAGAGAGAGACAGACAGAAAGATCCTCAAAAGGGTTATGTCATTTGACGTAGAAGGAAAGTCGTTAGAGATTTACTTACTTTCTTGTAATAGAAAACGGCGAAATGTGATAGTAATCTAAGCTGGTCAAAGCTGAACAACTCTTCGTACGGCTTCCTCCTGAAAAAAGTCCATTGGCAAAGGAAATTGCAGGTGAAAGTGAACACAACTCTTTCTTTAATAATATTATTAATATTGAACATATTCTTACGGCGAAGCAAAGAACTCTGGTTTATCCTTGAAAGTCAACGCCTCTGCAACTCCCAAATTTTGCTTTGTTTCCATGGCGGAGATGCAGAGTTTCTTCAACCTCCACCGTGCGGCCGATTCTGCAAATGGGAATGTCTTAATCTTTACATCAGAGGACTTGAAAACACTTACCAGCAATTTCCACAGCAACAGCCTGATCGGAATCACCCAGTCCGGCAGATTTTACAGAGGGCAGCTCCGATCAGCTTGGTCAACGGGAACAGAAGCTCGAAACCTGACAGTGAAAATATGGGATCAAAAGCCAGAATTCGACAACGCAACAACCAATGAGTTCTTGGTTCGAGTGAGTACTCAGATTTTAAGTTTCTAACCTTCATTAGCAGACATGGCTGTGTTTTCGAAGCTTGAAATTTTATCTTTTCAGGAAGAAGTGAAGCTTTCTACGCACCCGTCTCTAAATGGCCATCCCAGTTTGGCGAAATTGATCGGTTATTGCTGTGAAGATGAAGTGAAGGGTGTTGTTTATGATCTCGATCCATTGGGTTCCTTGCAAAATCTAGTGGCAAGAGGTAATCTACAAGTTCATGAGCCAAAAAACCATTGTCTTAGAAGCTCTGTACCAGTTTTCTTCTTTCTTTTGGCAGATGATCTTAATTGGCTCCAAAGAGTTGAAGTAATCCTCGAACTGGCTCGGCTTTTGGACTTCATTCACAGTCAGGAAAAGCAAAGCCTGCCCATCAAGTTTAGAGCATCAAATATACTGCTAGATTGGGTCAGAATAGTTGCTTTATAGTCTTTGAACAATGAATAAAAGCTACTGTTACCTCATAAATCTGTATGTTCCAGTCTATGCAGCTTCAACATTGTTAACCTGTTTATTTTAACAGGAATGCAAGCCAAAACTATGCGGGACAGGGGCCGACCTCAATAACTTTGCACAAAATCCTTCTAGCTACTTTCATCTGTCTACAAGAGGTACCTTAAAAATATGTTTCAAATGTCCAAAAGGTAGCTTTCAGTATGAATAATCTCCAAGGAATCGGTTAAAAAAGCGACATACTTGTTAAATAGGCATCACAAACAATCCAACTGGTAAACACGAGTTTATATAAAGTAAACTAGCTTGAATTTCTTGATACTCAGCTTCCTCGGCCAAAAGATGAAGTTTTGTTCCTTGCATTTCAGGTGGGAGTCAGGGGAAAATGAGCACTGATATCTATTCCTTGGGGGAAATTCTGCTGGGACTTATAGCCAAGAGAGCTTATGAACCTGAGAAACTAGAAAGGGAAAATCATCACCTGGTTGTGAACAGCTTAGTGAGCAATTGGGCAAAAAATGAGTACAGACCAAATGGCTCATTGGTCCACGAAACCTTGCAAAAAGACTGGGGTTACACCGCTGAAGAGGGAGTCGAACTCACCGAGCTAGCAATACACAGTATAGAATTCTTCCCAAGAAACCGTCCGAGCATCAAGCAAATACTTCAACATCTCGAAGGGCTGCAAGTTACTCAACGCCTTTCTGATACCCGACCCAGAAAAAAGGAAAGGAAGTCCCCTAGCAGTGCCATGGGCATATGAAATCATCATTACTAGTAAAAGGTTAGGCAGATAGTCATGGAGCTAAACAGAAGTTAGCACTCTCTAGTTCTTAGCTCTTTCTTACCAATGTAGAACATCGTCTAACACGGGAGCTGCAAGCACAGATCCCTCATGATTCAAGACCATAATTACATAATTGACACTTTCTGTTTTCAATCTTGCACTTAAGTCACAGCTTTCCCCATTAGCCACCTACTAACTCGAAACAAAAATAACTATTCTTTCCTGGAACGATATGTTTCATATTCATCAGACGTACATTCCATCCCACCATTCTGCCCAAACGTCAAATACAAATGACAATATCTATAACAATACGTTCGAGACAAGCCCTAAATCTACTATGTTCGGTCAGTAGAGACTAATAGTCCAGCTTAAAAAGGGAACAACTAACTAAGACTAGAAGAAGAGCTTGCCAACGTCACGGTACACATTTGCGCAGAAGATCTCAAACAAAAGTCCAGAGAGTCAAGAATAGCAAAACTATACAACATTTTTAATCTTCTTCTAAACAGGATACTCAATATTGATATATAATTTCAGAAATAACATTCAAGCTACTCCTTAATGTCAGCGACAAGGAAATGTTACAGTACACAATGGCGAGCCAATAATCGAATCCAAAGGTCTCATTAGAAGTCTACAACAACATATCACAATTTAATCATATTTACCAATGAATGATCAATAACTTATCAATGTGAAGACTGCAGAGCCCATTGAATAATCTAACTTACACGAATGAACTCGAATCAGTTCATGTCGGATAGAGAACAGACTCGAAACCAAGTATCTGTGAAGTTTTTATTGTTTGATGGACAGGTGCAGTCTCATGTTCCTAAGCCTTAACCTCCACTTGTTTAGGTCCTTGTTCATGAAGCAACTGCCCGAGCCCCTCCTTGCTATCACTATTCAGAGAGTTCATAGGCTTTTTCAAATGCGGATTTGATGTCAATATTCGCGGGGGAGAGTTCCCATTAAACTCCAAAACTTCGGGAAAGCCATTGGTGCAGCCCTTTGACATGCCAACATCAATTCGAATAGCTTGGTTATTACAGACGCCATTGATCCCCGCCGTCTGAATTGTGTGACCCATTATCATTCTCTTTGCCCCTGGGATCGTATCGAGCACATGCCTTAACAATGAACAGTCGCATTTCGTCGCTGATTCATTGGAAAATTTCCTCAGCCAAACAACGGCATTGCTCCGACGACAATAGTCCGGTGCGATTTTGCCTGACAACCCTTTAATCCAATCTCTCACCTCTTCGTTAATCCGTTCCAACCCATATTCCACGTGTCCCGGCAGAAGCCCGCCGTGAACAAACACCGACTCTCCGACGACAAGTACGGTCGTATTTTGTGACAGGAATCGGCCTGAAATGGGACCATTGGGGTGCAAAGCGGCAATTCTAGCACGAAATCCGGAATGAAACTCTTCCTTAACACCACGGAATGCCGTAGGAATTCCTTGAAATGGATCTTTGGGAATTTCTAAACCAACGCAAAGAGCCTTCATCTTGTTCCCAATGGAAAACCAGTCCCCCCAAACCCTAAATTCCTCCAACCCTTCCTTAGTCACGTACCTAAAATCACCCTCGACGTTCATGATTTCGTGGTTTCCATTCATAGAGATAATCATACCACCATCCTTGGCTGCTTCTCGTTTAAGTTTCTCAAGAAAATACAGGATCTTAAGCTCATCGCCGCCGCGGTCTAGCACATCACCGATCTGAACCATGGTGGTGGACCCTCCAATCCACTTTCCAGAGCCATCGATCAATCCAGCAAGTCTCAGTGCTTCCTTCGACTTTGAAAGGTCGCCATGAAGGTCTCCCACCGCAATTAGCCGCTCCGGAGAGGGTAACCATGTATGAAGCTGCGAAGACGATGACGGCTCGGGCTTATGATTACGAAGGGAAGGCGCGGTTTGAGAAGCGGAATCGGGAGCAGGACTGGCCGGCGGTAAGAAGAGACCGCCGCTGACGGAGAAGTCGACGAACGAGTCAACGAAAGAGGAGAGAAGATTCGGAACGTCTCTACATATCACCTCTTTCGAATAGTCCATTGGCGTTCGCTGCTTCGTTCTTTTCTTTTCCGCCGTAAGAAAAGATCGATCGTTATGTATTTAGCGCGAAAGAAAGAGGGAAGGGAAAGGGGGAAAAAGTGTGGGCCGGGTTCATATGGGCCGGGCCCAAAGTATAAAAGACCATGCTTTATGAGACCTCAGATGAAAGCAAAAAACCCTAAACCCTAGCGGATCTTCTCTGTTGTGAGCGTTTTCTGGAGCTTGGAAGGAAGATGAATCACATAGCAGCCATGGAAGAACAAGTGGTTTCTGAGAGAATGAGGCAAAAGTTGAACGAAGTGAATATGGCTGCGCAGGCTCAACTTGGTCCTATTCAAGACCACGTCAATTTTACCCTTCAGGTTTGCCTCTTCGTGGTTTTTGATATTCGAAATCCGGTTTCTGTTTGGTGTTTACTGTTTTTCTCCATCAATGCATTTATTGATGATTTCCTTCTCTTCTGGATCTTCATTTTCATCATTTGTGATTTCTTTTACTTGATGACTGTTGATTGTTTTCGTGATTCTTGATCTTGACTGCAGCAAGCGTATTTCAAATGTGCCTATGAGTGCTTTGATAGGAGAAGAAAGCAGGAAGAGATTAGTAATTGCGTTGAGAATTGTAGTGTTCCGGTTGTCAAAGCGCAGCAACATGTTGAGAATGAGATGGCCAAGTTTCAAGTACGTGTTATTATCCATCATCTTGTTCTTATTTTTCTCTTTTTCGCCTCCATGTTCTCCCTCATTAGAATGATTTCCCTTTCAAACTACCTGTTATTTGATTTCTCGAGTCATTTAACTTCATATGTTGATCTCAACTCTTAAATTGACATAAACACATGGCTCGAAATGCTTCAAACCAAACCCCAACCAGCTTTGTTCTGGTTTTGAGATGGAATTCACCACATCACTCGGAATGTTATGGTTTTGTCCTTGTGAGGATGACCATGATTTTCTTTCAAGACCTCATCCTGCGCATATAACACCATTTTAAAACCATTCAATTCGAGAAATAAACAAAGTTTCTTATCATCGTTTGCAGAGATCAGCTATATATTTCAGCATTATTTAGTCGCGAACTGAAGTTTGAATTCACATTGAATGAGTAATGCAGTTAATCATATGGGAATTGCATGTCAGTTAGAAATGTTCACAAGGCGGGTCCTAGAAAGACTTCTCATCCCTATCTCTACCCAATTTTCGTTTATTTTTGCATGGATCAGTTACAAATTTTTTTTTTTTTTTTTTTTTTTTTTTTGATAAGAGACAATTTCATTGATGAGTGAAATTTACAAGAGGGATGTATAATCCATGATGTTTACAAAAGACCTTCCCAATTTGCAGTGAGGGAGGTATAACTATAGGAAATAAAAATATTAGACAGTTTACACCAAGATATAGCTTGGTAAACAACATTGTCGAAAAGTTTTGTGTAGGTCTGTGTCGTTTCTGCAAATATTCTCTGATTAATTTCTTTCCACAGATTCCAAAAGCAAGCCATGATGAGGTTTTTCCATAATATGGCTTTTGCGTTTGAAAGCCATGTTCAAAATTTTCCTTTAATGAATAATATTTTCTAATATAATTTTTGGGTAAAACATCCTATAAGTTCATAAGGAAAAATAGTCTTCAACCGCCCCGCAAAGTGAGGCTGGGCGGGATGGGGTTGGTGTTGGAGTCGAAGATGGAGAATGTAATCTCCATCCCTGTCTCTAATGCTAATGGCAAGCTCCCAATCCCCATTTAAACAGGGATTCGCTACCCTGTTCGAGGCGGGTCCTTACGGGCTTTGACACTATAGGTTAAACAGACATTTCTAATGTCAATATGGTATCGGTGCATGCTATGAATGTGACTACCTAGGACATTTAGAAGCAGTGTTTCATGACCATGTTAATATGCCAACAAATATGATCTAATGTTATGATCATCTAATAAAGGAAAGGGTGTATTTTTGTATGGTGAATGCAGGAAAGATTGAACAGGTCACTAATGGTGTGCCAGGACAAGTTCGAAGCAGCTAAGCTTCAACAGAAAACTAACAGCGTATATGAATTGGAGTCATGCGTGGATTCATCAATACAAGAAAGTTTGAATACGCTTCCACACCTAGCTAATAAATTAAAAGCTTCCTTCAATATCAGGAATCAAGTTTAATGAGAGTTTGTATGGCTTCATTTTGCTCATTTTAATAGGATCCTTCACACTGACTATGCCTATTGCAACCCCAATTATCGTTTAGAGTTTTTGTAATTTCAATTCATTGACCTCGATTATGAACTTTCCCAGGGAATATGGGCGCTAGCTGAAGCTCATCCCTACCTGAACGACAGGATATTCTGACCCATTGTATACGATTTTGAATGAATAACAATGTGGAATGACTTTGTTCTAACCTTTCGTGAATTTTTATAGCCCTCTGATGGATGGCTGCATTCAGGATCTCGAAGTGTGTGCCGTACAGAAACTCAAATTAATTGCCATCGGTATATCTCATCCATTTATTTATTTCTTTAACTTGTTGCATGATGAAAATCCTATGGCGACTAATTTAGGAAATGATATGGATTTATAATCAAAGAATACTCTTTTCCATTGGGGTGAGACCTTTTGGGGCGTACTAATTTAGGGAAAGAATCCTCTATTTGTTGGTGTGAGGTCTTTTGGGAAGTCCAAAGTAAAACTATGGAGCTTATACTTAAAGTGGACAATATCGTACCATTGTGGAGAATCGTGTTCGGCTGACATAACTTTTTCCCATTTCGTAATTTTCCTTCAAGCTTGACTTTATTTTTCCTCCAATTTTTTTATTTTATTGTTTTTTTTAGTATAATTCTCTTTTTCTTGTTCTTGTTTGATTATTTGGGCTTAATATTATTTCCCTGTCTTTTTTTGACTATTTATATTTCTTGTCCTTTCTTATTGTGTTTTGCTTGTGGTTTTCCTTTCCTTGCTTCTTTTCTTTCTTTTTTTTTTTAGATAATTTTTTTTATTATCTTTTTCAAATAATTTATACAGAAGGTGAGAAAAAATAAAAATAAATTGAAATAGATGTATTTTATGTTTGGAGTAATTATATTTGATTTTTGAAACATAAATATAATGTGTATAATTAATTTTCCATTTTGATTATTATGAGTGAATTTTTATAATTTTATTAAATCATTTATTTGAAGATAAGTATTAAGATAAATAAATTTTAAAATCTAAAATTTAAGTCTCGTTGTTTACCATATGGAAGTTAAATTAAGATTTCATTTCAATGGAGATATATTCTTTATATTTAAATTCATCATCAACTCCTTAGTTAGCTGATGTGGGACTCCTCTCCTCTTCCAACACTCTTGATCAAATTATACAAAAGGGGAGAAAACAATATACTAAGTAAATTTTAGGAGGCATCTCTAGAAAAACCTTAGTTATAGGTGAGATTTCGAATGTTTTGCTTGGAATATATGTTAATCTGATTCAATTCCGTTGTAGTGGGTACAGTTAGCTAATAGTACCTTCAGTAAGTTCAAGTTTGTTCGACCATTAAACCATACTTGGGTTTATCATGTAAAGTACATAACCAATGTATTACGCCATCAATCTATCTAATTTTTTCTTAAGTTGAAGTAGAGCTTTAGAAGAGTAGAAATATCCATCCAATATTTGTTGCTTGCTTGAACACGCTTATCGAAAATTGATCCAGAAGTCAGGTTCAATCGAATCATGAACCACCCCGTAAAATTTAGTAATTTTGATTTTTATCCACTCTTTTTTAATAAAAAATAGGATGATGATAATAATTTTATTTATTTGAAAATTACTCATATTATTATTATTATTTTCTTTTCTTTTCTTTTTGTTGGCCCAAACAAAATATTAGACCAAAATCCAAAGGAGGAATAAATAAAACGACCAATTTGAGCTATAATTTGGAGTTTCTAGGGGTATCATAATTAGGCCCCCAAGAGAAGAACTGCCCAGTTGGTAACCGATGAGGCGGCAGCAACGCCAGCCTCGCTCCGACAACGGCGGCGGCATCGGCAGTATGTGTCCCTTTCCCACCCGTCATTGAGGTCTGTGTAAAGCCTGGGCAAAAGCTGTTCACACTCACACTCCTACTCCGCTTGGCCAAGACTCTCGTGTAAGCGTTCAGCGCCAGCTTGGACACCGCATAGTCCGTCCACAGCGCCGGCCACCCTTTCTTCTTCCACGTCCCTCTCTTCACGTCCTGCAGAAAAGCATCCACCACGCCCTCGATGTCCTCCTCCGCCAGATCTTCGCTCTGCAGAATCTCCTTCACTTTCTCATTCTTCACTTTCTGAAAATTTTCATTTATTAATTATAAATCACAATGATTTCATTGTACACTCCTCCCAACAATCCTCCTCTCGAACAAAGTATACTATAGAACCTCTTCTAAATCCTATGGAGCCCTCGAACAGCCTCCTTTTAATTGAAGTTCGACTCTTTCTCTAGAGTCCTCGAACAAAGTTCACCATTTGTTGAACACTTTAGTCACTTTTGACTACATGTTCAAGATTCACAACTTCTTTGTTCAATATTTAAAAATTCTATTGACATGACTAAGTTAAGCATGTTAAAAATCACGACCCTAATATCATGTTAAAAATCACGACTCTTCACAATGATATGATATTGTCCATTGTGAGCATAAACTCTCATGACTTTGCTGGCTTTGTTTTGGGCTTCCCAAAAAGCAGTCAACATGGAACTCCCTCCCAACAATCCTCCTCCGAAGCTAATGGAACCCTCGAATAGCCTCCCCTTAATCGAGCCTCAACTCCTTCTCTGGAGTCTTCAAACAAAGTACACCCTTTGTTCGACACTTGAGGATTCTATTGACATGACTAAGTTAAGGGCATGACTCTAATACCATGTTAAGAATCCAACTCTCCACAATAATATGATATTGTTCAATTGAGCATAACCTCTCGTGGCTTTACTTTGAGCTTCCCGAGAAGACCTCATAGCAATAGAGATGTACTCGTTACTTATAAACTCATGATTATTTCCTAAATTAGTCAATGTAGACTCCCTCCCAACAATCCACAACAAAACAGACACCAGAAAGTTTCTTTTCATAAGGCTTACATCGATGGTTCCGAGCCTCGAGGTGATATTGAGGATTCGGCTTCGAGAAGAAGAAGAGCGGAAAAGAGGTAGCAGAGCCTGAGTGAGCAATTTGGCGCCGTAAAAGTTAGTTTTTATTACTGTTTCTGCGTTTTCCACGGAGTTGTGGTCAATGTCGTTGAAGGATACGGCAGCGTTGTTAACCTGGCAGGGTAAAAATCATTATCAATTATTAAGACTTTTCCAAGTTGGAATGGTCAAACTGGTTGACTTATTAATTACCTTTGTCGTTACCAATGGTGACAGTGGCAGTTCAAGTGGAAATAAATAAAGAAAGAGACTCTACGACACAATGGGAACATGGGAGGAATGGTGGACTGTCTTTTTCGACCTTTTTCTTATATTTAATTCGTTACACATTAATTAATAATTTAGGGAATGATCATGGATTTATAAATAAAGAATAGATCGAAGCTTTTTGAGAAATCCTAAACCAAAGCTACGAGAGCTTATGCTCAAAACGGACAGTGTCATATCATTTTAGAGAATCGATTCCTAATATGGTATCAGAGTCATGCCCTTAACTTAGTCATGTCAATAGAATCCTCAAGTGTCGAACAAATGGTTTAGTTTGTTCAAGGACTCCAGAGACGGAGTCGAGCCTCGATTAAGGGGAGACTGTTCGAGGGTTCTATTGACCTCAGGGGGAGGATTGTTAGGAGGGAGTTTCATGTTGACTGCTTAGCAAAGCCAGCAAAAACATGAGAGCTTATGCTCAAAATGAACAATATCAAATCATTGTGGAGAGTCGTGATTTTTAACATGATATCAGAGTCATGTCAATAAAATCCTTAAATGTCGAACAAAGAAGTTGTGAGCCTCGAAAGTGGAGTCAAAAGTGACTCAAGTGTTGAACAAATGGTGTATATTATTCGAGGATTCTAGAGAAGGAGTCAAGCCTCGATTAAAAGGAGACTATTCGAGGGCTCCATAGGCCTCAAGGGAGGCTCTATAGTGTACTGTTCCATGAAAGGATGGTTGAGAGAGAGTCCCACATTAGCTAATTTAGAGAATGATCATGAGTTTATAACTAAACAATGCATCTATATTGGTATGAGGCTTTTTGAATAAGCCGAAAGCAAAATCATAAGAATTTATGCTTATAAAAGAGTATATCATACCATTATGGACCGTCATGATTCTTAACATTGTCCTAAAATATTTGAATATCTTAATCATTTTCCTAAAATAAATATAGCTCGTATCATTATTGTATTCAAACCTATTGGCGAGTGATTTTATAACAGATATTTTAATAGATTCAATTGATATGATACTGTACTCATAATTAGTGACTTACAAGAATATCGAGGGCGGGAAAATTGGCGACGACCCAGGCGGCGAAGGCGTTAATGGAGGCAGGATCGGAGACATCGAGGCGGCGGAACAGAACGTTGAGGCCTTCGTTTCGCAGCGATTCAACGGCCTTGAGTCCTCTTCCTTCATTTCTAGTGGTTAATATGACGGTGAGTTCCATTTGCGCTAATCTTCTAACTAGGGCAAATCCGATGCCCTTATTGGCGCCGGTGACGACCGCCACTGTGTTATTCGACCACCATCTGCACAAAAACACGACGGCGGAGGAAATAGATGAACAGAGATGAATAGAGATGAACAGAGATCGGCGACGGAGGTTAATCAATGAATTACCTGTCGGAGAAGGGAGAAGAGGAAGCGGAAGAGAGGTCGAATTCCTTGGAATCCATGGCGGAAAGAGGCGAGGGAATCTGGAATAATCGGGCATTGAAATTGGGAAGTGAAGAGGGGAATATATAAATAGAGATGGGAAATGGAAAGAAGCAGAGTGGGAAACTGGACAAGATTTAGATATAAAATTAGGAACGTGAGACTGTGAGAAAGCGGGACCCACCTTCCCATTACTCCAGCAAATTGAATAGAGTTTATAATTTAATCGGTTACACTATTTTTTTTCAATTATTTTAAAAAATTATATTTATAATAATATATATTACATTAATAACTAAAATATTATAAAATCGTAATAATGCATTACTAATATTGGTTATAACCATTCAATATTCTTTTTTTTTAAAGAGTACGGTAGAGTTGGGTTGGTTTAGACCCTATTTTTTATGTTTGTCTGGTTGGTTGGGTTGATTCGAACAAAAAAATGTCTACCTGATTGAACTGAATTTTCAGCCTTACAAAAATTCAACCCAATCTAAATCATTTGGTAACTTGGGTTAGTTGGGTTATCGGAACACGAATTTTTTTATTCTATATATATCACTTTTTTTTTTTTAATTTTATATATGTTTGAACACTATGAGAAACCGAGTGAGGGGGAATAGAGTTTTAAAATTATTATTTAAATATTATTAACATATTAAGTAGGTAAAAAAATTAATTATATTCCAAATAATAAATTATTGCAACAAACTCCAATAATTTCAAAATTAAATATGGAAGAGTAATATAATATAAGAGTCAAATTTGACCTACTCCACCGTAGTTGAAAATTTAAATAAAACTTTATTTACTTAGCAGCATAGCAACTATTATACTACTCTTTTATGAGTTGAAGAGCAAACTCAATCCTTTTTACGACTCAGTATCAAATCATTATAAATGTTAGAATTTTGTAAAGATCACACTAGAACTCTTATGAACCGTAGATTTATAAATTTGAGCACAACTAAATAAAATTAAAAATTAAAAATTAATTTAAAATAATAATAATAATAATAACAACGTATATAATAATAATAATAATAATAATAATGTATATTATAATAATAACAATAAATATTTATTATAATAATAATAATAATGTATTATTAACGGAAACACACTTTCAAAATTTCGTTTTTTTAATTATAGTAATATAATAAGAATAAATATATATGTAACAAAAACAGAGTTTTGAATTCTTTTAAATATTTTTAAAAATAATATAATATATATATGACGAAGGGAAACCTTTTCTCAAAATTTCAGTTTTTAATATAATAATAATAATAATAATAATAAATATAATAAATATAAATATAAATATAATTATTTTTTGGAGCGGCAATCTCCACTTGCAGGTTGTCCTTTTTTATATATATATATATATATTTATTTATTTATTTATAATGTTATATATAAGTATTTTTATTTTCTTTTATTTCAAAAGAAATAAAAAAAATTATCTTGTCATCCAATCTATACTCCAAATATCAATTAATTAATTAATTTAAAATTATTGACCAACCACTAACCATACATAATAATTTTTTTTTATAAAAATGTAAAATAAATATTTAAATTTAAAATTTTGTATTTCTAACATATACTTAATATTTATTAAAACTTTTAAACTACTGTTTTTTCAATTATTTATCCGTGAATTTTGAAAATATTAAACAAATAAAAAATATTTAGTTAACAGAAAATTAAAAATATATAACTTAAAAGTCTTAAGATCCAACGCATAATTTAATTCAATCGAAAATTTATATTTTGGATTAAATAATTTATTTATTAGAAAATTTTGCAAAGGGAAGCTTTGGGATTTTCTTAATTTATTTTTCTTTTTTTTTTTACAGTTTTTTCCGTTATTTTTGTTTGTTTTTTTTTTCATTTTTAAAAAGTATGATTATTTGGAATTTCTTTTTAATGTACTTGTCAAAATATTTTTAAAGCTGCACACGTTTTAAAGATGATAAACGTTCTTGGAAAAAGAATTGTCTATTAAAAAATATATAATTTTTTTTTTTGAAGTTTGGTTATCTATTAAAAAGTATATTTTAAAGTGGGAAGACAAAACAAATAAATTTAAATTTTAAAAATGGAAAGAAGTTTAAATTAAATTTTCTTAATTAAAAATATATTTTCGAGTAATTTAATCTCTAAAATAGATTCGTATGTGACACCCAAATAATGAGGGGTACATGAACGAACTGAAAACTATATCTGAATGAGAGCCATTTTGAGAATAGTGTAATAAAGAAAAGCTTAAAATAATTGAAAGTTATTACCTATACGGAATGCAATTTCGTTTTTGATGGCTCAATCATAAGAACTCCACGATTAAATGTATGATTTTCACAACAAAAAACTAATAAATTACGTGATCATTTGCGTGTATCGAAAGAGCAATTACAAGAAGTAATGTAAAGAATATTGAAGTGTCAAATCAAGAAAAGAATGGAGTGACGATAAATATCACTTGACACTGGAAAGTGATTTGAAGACTTTTTGTGTTTGATAGTTGAACTAACATTTGAGACTATTTATGTCATTTCTTATTTTCTTTGATTTGTATTTAATAGCTTTTAGTAGTTTATAGTTGGTAGTTGAATTACCGTTGGTTTGAATTACCTCTATGGCACGTAATATTCAAGTTTGAAATCATGGTTGAAGACAAAAAAATCTTGTGTTTGAAACCCTTTGGTGTTATGTTTCTTTCAAACCTTACTCTATGTTTGATGTTAAAATCGATTCATTGGATTAGTCATGATCAAACTAATTATGGAGTGAGTCGTCTTGTGATCTAAGAGTGACCATCATAGATTCGAAGTTCGATCTAGGAACTATTCATCTTCTAACCACATTTTGGTTGGAATTAATTCGTTAAGTTAGCTTCCTGCGTGAAAGTTTGCAAGGATACTAGAAGGACTTCTAGCTTTGCAAAATCCAACATTTTTTATGCTTATCATTTGGTATCAAAGCATTTGGTCGACGTTCTTTGGCCAACTCTAAAAGTGAAATATCTTTTATTTGGTTAAGTTAGCTCTATTTCTGAAATTTTACAAAGATTTTAGAAAGAGCTCTAGCTTTCCTCGATGGCCTTGTGTTTGGTCGGGTTAAGATATTTTTAAATCCAACCCGACCATAATTTTTTTTAATTGTTCGTAAAATTTATTCAAAATTTTATTTTTTTTATGTTGAGCAGTAAAACATCTATTTATTTATTTTCATACATTTAACTAAAATTTACCATCCAATTTCAATATATAATTAAAAAATTATCTTCCAAATAATTTTGAATTATTTTAAAGAAGGTCAGAGAATAAATAATAAAAATAAATAAAAATAAATCAAATAATTGTATGTTATTTCATATAAATAAATTAATTTTTTTCGAAGGACGTTATGATCCACTTATAATGGTTTGGATTATGATCTTGATAACTATTTTAATTAAAATGTTATATAAGGTGAAGATACTGTAATATCATTGATATATCAATAATATATTAACACTCGTCCAAAATTCATTTCGAATATAATATCGGTGTTTCATTTAATATATATATATAATTATTAAGTTGTTGGAGATTTAAATTGTAAATTAAAAAAGAAAATGGGATTAATAATAGGGTGGGAAGGCAACTCTATATGTTGACTTTACAAACTTATATGGTTTTGGATATTGAAAGTTTGGAAGATACTTCCACAAAATCTTTTATTTCAAATACATATTTCCACCACCATTAAATTCAGCGACGTATGGATCCCATTTCACAAAATAATAACACTTATATTAATAATTTAACGCGTAATTTAGTCTTCTTTTTCTATTTGTTGGATGAAAGTTCAGATCGGTTTGTAACGAAGGAATATTATTTTCATTAGTTTGAGGTCTTCTGGGGAGCGTAAACCTGTGAGAGGTTATCCTCAAAGTGGACAATATCATACCATTGTAGATAGTCGTGTTTATCTAATACAAGATTGGGGATGAGAACTACATTTCTTTATTAAAATTTAATTTTTTAGAAATTATTTATTTTTCTTATAAAATATTATTGAATTTATTATAATATTTTATATTTTTAAATAAAAATTATATTAGAAAATGAAAATTTGATAATTTTATGCCTGGGAGTAAAATTCTCCAATATCTGATAACGTAAATGGAGAATTTGTGAAGATATAGATTAAAATAAAGACAGAGACGAGAACATCTCTACTAATAGTTTTATCTGCTCGTTATTTATTTAAAATTCTCTATGATTTGAAATTTAATATCAACATCCAAATAAATATTAATTATGTACATCAACGTAAATAGTTTGTCATTATCAAGTATTTTAAATCTTAATGAAATTTCTACATCTTGTAGCCGTAGATTTTCAAATAAATTATTCAAACTAATTTTATTTTATTTTTACGAATAATTGTAAAATTCAATAACATATTTTATATATAGTTCGACATGTTACGTTTCATTTCACACGTTATATCTCATGAATTCCTTCTTCAAAGTCACGTTTACACGAACGAATCAAATAAAAATGTAATATTTGTCTAAAAAATACGTTTAGAAGGTGTGTTTCATCATCTTTCATGGTTAAACCTGAACTCAAAGCTTTCTTTTTCTTGCATTGGCTTTGCATGCTCAAAAGTTGGAAGGTTCGAGGCCACACAGTAATAGTGGCTTTTTGTCATGCCTAAAAAGCCTGCCCTTTCCATTATTAAAGAAGAAGAAAAAGAAGTTGGTTTAGTTAAGTAGCTTCCATGTGCTTTACATTCAATCAAAAGCCTAAAAAGGCTAGTATTAGGCAAGTGTTGCCTATGCTATTTCAATCATCTCCTTTTGCTATTATACAATTCTTATATGATTATGCTACAGTGCCCACCCCACTAATCGTCTCGTTGTTGATTCTTAGAATGTTAAAAGAATGTTTTGTTCACGTTTGGAATGTGTAAAGCTTGTAGAGTTACAAAGTCTTTGTTTGATTTGAAGTTTTCGACTATAGACTTACTAAGTTTTCTTGGGCTAGGAGATTTGAATATCTGATTTCCTAGGTTCGAGAGGGTCATTGCTTTA